ATGGGGTAGCCACCTTGTGGCGTACATCATACTTTGCTAGCAACTTCTCGAAGGCTCTATTACAGAAGTGCATACCTCAATCACTGATTTGGGTGCTTGTGTAGACGCGGTGGCTGACCGGCAGGTGAAGTCAGAGAAGAAATTCTTAGGCTGGCTGAGAGCTCTGGGTCGTGTGTGCAATGTGAACCCAGATAACATCTCCGATCAGGAGTGATTTTTCAGGAAAGTCCCTTTACCTCACTGTTTTTTAAATTTTTAAGCCATGAGGACATGTCTACATTTTAAGTGTGGGGTGGGGGATACTTCACTGTATGTATGTATTTGTAACAATTGACTATTTGATTTTGTTTTGTTTTGTTTTGCTTTGATTGTTTTGGTGTTTTGAGTAATAGTTCATTAGGTAAGTTAAAATAGGTAAGTGACTTGTCCCGACGACGAATCTCTTTCGGCGGGGTTCTTGAGGGACTAAGTTGAGAAGAAAAAAAGGGGGGGGGGAATATGGAGACTCTTCCTGATGACGAATCCTTTAGACAATTTTCTTGAGGGAAGTTAATCTAGAGAAAATACCAAAAAAAAGTTTTTTTATTTTATTTTTAGGTAGTGTAGTAACTCCTTCTTGGTTTTTCTTTGGGCCACGGTTCTTTTCCAAGGGTTTAGTTTGAACCGGGTATAGGTAGTTTTTGTTCATTTTGTTTATTTTTAGTTTTTAGATTAGGATTAATGGGCTACGAGCAAAAATCGAAGGAGAAACCCTTAGCGTTGATACACCTGAACACAATAGACACTAGAGTGTAACGCTTAGTCTCAATGGTTGAATCTTGCTAAAGTACCTTAAAATTGTATGTTTCTATTTAACTTGAACACTTAAAAGAGAGTGTCTTGATAAATCAATCTGGAGTGAGTCATGTGCCATGTGTGTGTGAGTTTTACTGTATTCCATGATTCACATTTGATGCCTAGAACTTGCCCTGTGTGTTTGCAAAGCGAAATAGTAATTTCATTCAGTTTTAGAAGTGATATAGACATTTCTTTGTTGAGCCAGACATATAAAGTAAACCCACCTGAATGTAATACATCTTAATAACCCCGTTGAGCCTATAAGCCTGTTTCTTTGGCAACCACATTGCGAACCTTACCCAATTGTTTGAATAGCCTGCTGTTTGAACCCTTTTACCTCTTATAAGCACTTGAATGGTATTAAAATTATGCAAAAGCAAAAGTGTGGGGTGGTGATTTGTTTTTGAGTGGAACCATTGAAATAGAGAAAAGGTGCAGAGTTTTGAAGAGTAAAAGAATAAGAACCACAAAAAAAAGAGAAAAAAAAAAAGATGAATCAATGTAGTAATCGATAAGTGGTGGTTGTTACAATTGCACCTAATGGATGGAGATGTTTTAAATAAAAAAGTGGTGGAGTGTTTGGTAGACATAAGTATGGTTTTGAAGGTTAATGTAATTGTATTAAAAGTGCTTAGGGAGGTTAGTCACTATATCCAAATATATCCTACCCGTCCTTTAGCCTACATTACAACCAAGTGAAGTCCTGTTGATCTTAAACTGAGTGGGCTCGATTAGTAGAGTAGTACACTACGGGCAATCCTATGGTGCATCTTTGTGGCATGTGAATGTTCTTTTTGAGAGTGAGCGAATTTTGTCTATTTAAGTTCCTAGTTATTCTAAATATTATTATATGTGGAACTACTCTCTTGTGTGATGTGAGGCATGTGATTCACAAAGGAAAGGTAAGTCTTGACTCTTGTATAGAGTAGTTTGAGTAAGTGCGAATGTTGCATGGTACGAGAGATTCGACTTTTGAGGTAAAGGTTGTTCACTACTAGGTGCAACTTTGGTAAAATGTTCAAGGTGTGGGTCGTTAAGGGAAAAGCTTAGGGAAGGAACTTTGATGGAGTGTGATGGATTGCTCGAGGACTAGCAATGATTTAAGTGTGGGGTGTTGATATTAGGCTATATAGATGATAATTACACCTTAATATTACCATACTTTATTATTGTTTTATAGGTAAGTTGCCAACAAAATGCTCTAAATGGTGTTCTTGTGTTTCGCAAAGAATATTCTGAGTGAGGAAGCACCACAGAGTGTTTTGGAGGCAATAATGTTAAGAAAACGCCCACTCAAGAAGTACCGAGCACAAAGAAGCAAAAAGAAGTACTAAGCAAAATTCCACCGCGACCATGGTGGAACCGCGGTAGAACCACGGCAAATCAAGAGGCGAGGCAGAATACTCAGCATTCACCGCGGTCGTGCCGCGGTCCTGCCGCTACTGCGGTGCACTGTTCACTCGTCAGCAAATTTGGGGACCAAAGTATAAATTCGGGAAAACTTGTTCCAAACCCTTATAAGCTTTAGAGACTCGCCCAAGAATTTTTGAAGCTTGTTTTTAGAATACTTTGGAGGCAAGAACAAGTGTGAGAAGATCAACCAAACATTAGAGTTTTTTTATCTCTTTTATTTTCTTGCAATTACCCATTATGACTAATTTAGTAGTTTTATCTTGTTTTGTCATGAGTAGCTAATTCCTTAGTCTAGGTGTTTAATCTCTTTTATCTTGTTTAATCTCTATTTGTTCAACTACGTGTTTGTTGTAGTTAATTGACAGGATCTTCAATTAGCTGTGCCTATTTAGTGTGCATAACTCGGGGGAGAGTGCATATTTAGGNAATGAACTTCTTGTGATGTTAATATAATTTGCCAGTTTAATCTCTATTTGTTCAACTACGTATTTGTTGTAGTTAATTGACAGGATCCTTAATTAAATGTGTCTATTTAGTGTGCATAACTCGGGAGAGAGTGCATATTTAGGTAATTGTTGAACAACACCACTCCCAAAGTATATGAGGGATCAATAACTGCGGATATAAAGGCTAGATTAGGGATAACAAAGCCTTGAGTGCAATCTAAAGTGAACTGTAATAAACAAAGCCAGCTAGCGTATCTCGGGAGAGTGCGTCTAGTAAATTATCGTGATTACTCGGGAGAGATCTACGGTAATAGAAGTGCTCATGATTGATAGAGATGATTTGATGAATCTATATGAAACATAACCGGAAGGGATTCCATCAATAGGGGAAATCATAACCTTAGAACCTTCTCTTAATTGTTTACAACTTAATCATAGTTAGTTTTCAGTTGCTTATTTACTTCCATTCTTAGTTAGTAGAAATACCATCAATTGTATTGACAACATTTGGGAAGTTGATTCCGGAGAATTTAGTAAATCCAACGAAAGTAATTGATAGGTTAATTCCTTGTGGGTTCGACTCTGGGCTAAATACGTAGATTATATTTGCAACATCAGCGTGTCCTTTTTATAAGGCATAGTTGGCCGTGATCAATACGCTCGTTAACTCGTATATGCATCATCCCCACATGTAGCAAATAATATCAATTAGTAGAAAAAATTCCCTCAACAAAGCTAGGCAAGATACTTACCTCATTCTAAAACACAATCAACAATCAACCACGGTATTTTACTTTAAGACAAGCCTCAAACCAATCAAATCTAGTTAAATATCATTCAAATAATTCAAAACAAGCTTTAGAAACTACCCAAGAATGAAAAATGTTCAATCTTTAGCTAAATTGAAAAGGTCAACAAAAGTCAACCCCGGGCTTGCTTGGTCAAAACCCGAGATTCGGACCAAAACTCGATTACCTATTCAACCCCCGAGCTTGATTATGTGATTTGATTTGAAATCTGATTTCGATTTGAGGCCTAAATCTCAATTGTACAAAATTCCTAAATTCTACCCCAAACCCCTAATTTCTACCATGATATTCTTAGATTTGATGTTAAAGACTCATGAAAAGTAATTGGAATTAATTGAAAACTAGTTAAAGATGTTTACCATGAATTTGGGAAGAAAAAGTTCTTCAAAAATAGCATCTAGAGTGTTTAGAGTGGGAAAATGGTGTAAAATGAGCTAAGACCCAACTTTTTCCTCTTTTATCCAACTGCAGGTATCACAATTGCGAACTCTTGTTTGGAAATACAATGCTCGCAAATGCGATCATGCCCAGTGAAGTCGCAAATGCGAGCAAAATTTCACATTTGCGAAGCTACCAGCCCCCAGCCCCCAGCTCCCAGTCGCAAAAGCAAACAAACAGAGTCCGCAAATGCGAACTATTCTTCGCAAAAGCGAAATTCCAGCCCATTATCACAAATGCGATCAGTTGACCGCAAATGCGATATCGCAAAAAATTACGTAAAAACTTTTCGGAAAACGACACGGATCATGCACGCAGATGAAGAAATATCAAATAGAGCTAGGAAAAGTCTTGGAACACAGAAAGGTAAGCTAGTACTCATAACGACCGATCGGATCGTTGCATGATATTATTTCCTAATTATTTATGACGAAATGTTGAGCATAGTTTTGATTATCAAAAAATGGGGTTTTAAATGTAAAATTATTTGATCGATTGAAGTACTAGTAACATGTATGTACTGAAACTAAAATTTTATTTTTTGTACGATGTTGAACATTGATATTGATTATTAAATTGATTTAATTGTTATAATAATCAGTTAATTTAATTCAAACCAACATAGGGTTAAGTCTAATATACTAGCACAAAATGTATTATACTAGAAATGTTTGAATATTTCTTCTTTACTAGGGCACAACAAAAAATTTTGTTGGGTTGTTAAGACTATCCCTATAATTAGCTCTCAAAAAAAATGCGAAAAGAACAAAAGAATTGGCAACATGATTTGATTCAAAATTCAGTTTTATTTGCATTTATCGTTATTTTAGTCTAAACAATAAAATGTAGGAGTTTGGGATTTCCACTTCTCTCTTCTAATTATTCTCTGTCATTCAGTTTTTATACCCAACCATTTAAATTTATTTATCTGTACTGCCGAAAATATAGATCCTCCAAAGGCGGATACATTAAATTAAATAGTACCAGTTTTTAACCCATAATTATAAAACTACAACCTTATATATTGCACTCATATCACTTAAATTCTAAATCCATCACTTAGTTAGTTTTGCTCCCCGTTTTCTAGCTCTTTCTGTTTACCAGATAAAGTCTTTGTTTCTCTCACATTCTCAATATTGAATTGGTAATAAGTTGGGTGCGATTTCATAAAGGTAAGCTTCAATTCTGTTTGATGGTCTCTGTTCACTTGCATTTACTATTTATTGGTTGCTAAATGATTTGTTGGTCTAACTGGTTAACTACAATTTTTAGGTTAAATCTGACATTAGTTCATGTGGTTATCTGATCCAAATGTTGTTGAACATGTTCTGGTCGGAAGAAATTAAATTATATATGTATATCATCTTGATCATCAAAGTGGTTAAAAAAATATAAGAACCAAATGAAGGAAGCTAAGACGAGACCATTCCGATAATATGATACTAATTTGTTCAGATTAGATGTGTAAGTGTCTTCACTAGCGCTAAGCACACATTAAATTTTTGATTAATTGCACTAAGCATCTCCTGTAAGTATTTTAAAATCAAACACTTACAGCCCCTATGTAAAACCAGTTTCTTTAATTTTGGTATAAATTTGTTGCCTCAGAATTCGCATATATCATTTGCCGGCCAACCATGAGACCAAAATTGGGAAATAAAGATATATCATTTTCTTTTGAACGGAGCTTTGCTCGTGTAAATTAAGTGGTCAACGAATTTACACATGTGATATATTTAACTTTTTGTGTTAATAGTTTGAATTAGTTCTTGATTCGGCATGTAAAGGCGTGCAACATGAACACACGTTGAATAAAAGAAATGCGAGAGTTTGTCAATCTAAAGAAGTGTGAGAGTTGAAAGTGAGTTAGGGAAGTAAACAGTCTGCTAGCTAGTAACATTTAGTTTGCATGAAACCTAATATAATCGTTTTTCTTGTAAAAACAAATACTTCTTACTAACTTTTTTTAAACTCATTTCTGAATTGATGTCTCCAAGATTGCAAAATATTCTTTAGTAATACTATTTCTAGCATTTTTCATGTTACCATTCTGTGTTAATGTTTTCTTAAGTTTAGTTCGTATACAGCCGTTTTATATATATATTTTCTTACATTTAGTGATTCTTTTTTTTTTGGTCAAAGTAAATATTATTAATCTCCAAAATCTCAAATACAAACGATATTGTTTCTCTACATCTCATACTCCCAACTAAGGAATATTCCTACCTACTTCCCTTCTCTACCTAGCTGTTTTTCAGTTTTTTTCTCTTTCTTTATAGGCAGGAAGGAGAATTAAGATATTGGAAAATCTATGTTTTGTACTTTTAACATGAGTGAGATATCTTATACTCCCTCCGTTTCATATTAGATGAGGTAGTTTGAAGAAAAATCTCATCTCTTTGGGAGCCCTAGAATCAAAAGGGTTCAAAATCATTATAGAAAATGGAGTGATGAGAATATGCTCCGGTGCACTAGTGGTAAAGAAGGCCAATCGGAAGAACAATAACATGTACCGTTATCGCGGTAGTACAATTATTGGGACAGCGACAGTAACATCCAGTGACGAAAAAGAGGCAGAAGCAACCAGGCTATGTCACATGCGCTTGGGACATGCTGGAGGTAAATCCCTGAAAACTTTATCAGATCAAGGATTGTTAAAAGGAGTAAAGGCTTGCAACTTGGAGTTTAGCGAGCATTGTGTCAAAGGGAAACAAACAAGGGTTAAATTTGGTACAACTATCCATAATACTAAAGACATCTTGGATTATGTACACTCTGATGTTTGGGGTCCTTCCAAAATACCTTCATTGGGTGGGAAGCACTATTTTGTAACCTTTGTTGATGATTTTTTCCGAAGAGTGTGGGTGTATACAATGAAGAGCAAAGATGAAGTGTTGGGAATTTTTCTCAAATGGAAAATGATGGTGGAGAATCAAACATGCAGGAGGATCAACTGTATTCGCACAGACAATGAAGGTGAATACAAAAATGATCATTTTAATAAGGTCTGTGAAAATGATGGCATTGTCTGACACTTCACTGTCAGACATACACCATAACAGAATGGAGGGGCAGAACGTATGAACCAGACCTTGCTGGAGAAGGTACGGTGTATGTTATCCAATGCTGGCTTGGGCAAAGAATTTTGGGCTGAGGCAGTTACATATGCATGTCACCTCATTAATCGTCTACCATCTGCTGCTATTGATGGCAAGACACCATTTGAAAAATGTTATGGAAAGCATGTTGTAGATTATGACTCTTTGCACATATTTGGCTCAGCTGCATATTATCATGTGACAGAGTCAAAATTGGATCCAAGGGCAAAGAAGACTATTTTTATGGGGATTACTTCTGGAGTCAAAGGATATTGCTTATGGTGTCCTATGACAAAGAAAGTAATATTCAGCAGGGATGTTACCTTTGATGAAT